TATTGATGTCCCAGGTGTGTAAGCTAACGCCAAAAAAAAAAAGAGGCTACATGTTCATGTCAACATTAACATTTTCTTTGAACGGATATAGTTTGCAAAATTTCTAACAAGAAACGTACCAGCCTACTTTTCCATGTAATGTATGGTGAAATCTAATGAATAATGTATTTAAAAAAAGAAGAAGAAGAGGAAAAATATAAGTAGGGGATAGCTTGAGTTCTCTCATATAATAAAGTTACCATATCATCTCATATAATAAAATGTAGTTTGCAATTGGTTAGTAAGTTGTAGGAAAAAAAGATCAAGTGATAATTGCTGAACTTTGGGTTTTTGAAGATGCAACATAGTGGGATTGAGGTGATCCATAGTTATGAAAAGAATTGGACAATCAAGGTAGGATATGGTATAACAATAAAAAGTTGGGATTTCAATTGTATATATGAGTTAAGATCTGAAATTGAAATTGGTTTGTAAGCGTGTTGCAAAGAATTATGTTTGCAATGCGTGTTCTTCCCTTTTTAGGTTGTGTTTCCTCAATACTCATTTATCACTTAGTGAATCATCTTTCACATTGGTGCTGTGACCTGTGTTTTCTGCTTCGTCGAAATATGAATATCAGTAACGTTTGTGACTAGAACAAATATCTGCTTATTTGATAATCTTCTAATGCAATCTTGTTCTGCCTTTAATTAGAACTGATAAGCATGAAATAACACGTCCTTCTTATGATATGAACCATTAATGACTTACTAATGTATGTACAACAATCCTTGAAAAAAATTTGTGGCAGTCAGGTTTTTTGGCTAAATTGTGCTTTTACTTATATCATGGTGGATGCCATAAAAGAAAAAAATAAGAATTTCCTAGATGCAAGTAAAAACATTTTCCTCTAAAATTCCCCAGCTCTTACAGATGTATAATCTGAGGTAAATTAGCTATTAAGAAAACTGAGGAAGTGTATTTTCCGATTGTGTGAAAAGGAGAAGACTACTAACACATTTTGAACTTTTGAGATGTAAATATTGCTTTTTTCGGTTAGATATAGCTTGATGTGTTTACTTGGTTTGAGAACTGATGGGGCTTGCTGAATCTATTATTTTCAACTGTAAAAATTGTTTGCTTTAACTAGTAGGGGATTATAATATGCTCAATGCATTTGCTATTTTTATTGTAATCTTTCACTCTTCCATCACTTTGTCTTACATCTTCTCATTTTTTGTTGTTGCTAAGCTATACCTGGAGCCAACGTTCTATTAACATGAATCCTAAAGTTGCTCTATAGAGCATCTATTTTTGGCAAATATTTTGTTTCTGTAACATGAAACATGCTATGTGCTCCATAATATAACATTCTGTAAAGTATTGTTTCGGATTTAGTTGGAGATTGTGGCTTATTTAATCACAGTCTTCTCTGTGAATTACAGAACGCAGGGATTTCTGGCTCTGTTCACTGGCGATACCGGGGAAATTCGTGCAGAAGTTAGGGAACAAATCGACACAAAGGTTGCAGAATGGGGTGAAGAAGGAAAAGCAGAAATTATTCCTGGGGTTCTTTTCATTGATGAAGTTCACATGCTTGATATTGAATGCTTTTCTTTCTTGAATCGTGCAATAGAAAACGATATGGCACCCATATTGGTAGTTGCCACCAACAGAGGAATTACTTCTATTAGGGGCACAAACTACAGATCCCCACACGGAATTCCAATTGATTTTCTTGATCGTCTGCTCATCATATCTACACAACCTTATACACCAGAAGATATTCGTAAAATCTTGGACATTAGATCCCAAGAGGAAGACATAGAAATGTCTGAAGATGCAAAGGTTTTGCTGACAAAAATTGGAGAAGATACCTCGTTGAGATATGCTATAAACCTTATAACTTCTGCTGCATTGGCTTGCCAAAAACGAAAAGGAAAGGTTGTGGAAATGGAAGATATTAGCCGAGTTTATGAGCTATTTTATGATGTGAAAAGGTCAACACAATACTTGATGGAATATCAAAGTCAATATATGTTCAGTGAGGTGCCAGCAGGGGAGGGAGATGAAGACGAAGCTAATGCCATGGTTCCATAAGGTCTGTTGAGAACTGAACTTGACATTTGCAGTCCCCGCGAGAATGTTTTATGGTGCACTCATCTTGCTTAATTGGTTATAGTTTGAATTGAAGGAAGAAGATGTGGGAAGAAGTTTGTACAATTGAATGCTCTGTACCACCCAACAGAAAGGATCGTGTTCCGGTAGTAATTTTTGTCGTGAGTTTCTAGCCGTAGGTTTTCTGAAATGTGATGTTTTCTTTGTTATGTTAACTGTCTTTATGCACGTGGTTTATGCCAATCAATTAACTTATTCAACTTTAAGTGTGTATTTAGTATTTTGCAAATGTGTTGAGGTTGGATGGATCAATCAATGTTACTGGTCATGATTTAATATAGCCTTCAATTATCTTTTCTTCCCTTTACAAATAAACAATTCATTTTTTTTCTGGACTTCGTAAATACAATAACATGATAGCTAAAGTTTTATTGATGAAATCAATTTGATTTCATTGATCCTTTAACATGTTTGGAAAGTAATAGAGCTTAGGGCTGTCAATAGATCGGATTTGGGTTGGATTCGCTCATTCAACTTAGTTAATATGTTTTGACTTTCATCGCAATTTATTGAATTTCAACATAGAAAAGATCAACTCTCAATATCTTTTACTGCTTGTCTAAGAAATTATAACAAATTCAATTAGAAAACAATGGTATTAATATTAATGAATCAAATTACTAAATCATGTTGTTGGGTGAAAATATCAATAAATTGACGAAATATTAACTATGTAAAAACTGATGGTAAACAATATTAATATTACTTACAGAAAAATAATATTATATATATACATATAATTTATTCGATTTGTAATAAATCATATCGACTTAATTATGTATTCGCATCATGTATTTGGATTATGGATCAATAAATCTGATCAGATTCAAATTAAAATTTGGACCATTGACGACTAGCCGTAATAATGTCCATGAGAAACTAAACTAAATTATCTAATAACTCAAATTTGAATATGAGGTGAACTGTTCCAGGATGAATTTAAGTAGAATTAGAAGAACTGGCAAAATTATATATTTTTCTGTATATGGCTGTCAAAGTAAATGAAAAAAGGGTTGTCTTATAATTCGACGTATATGAAGTGAAAATTGTGCATTGAAAGTTGACACTAAATCATTATATAACTCATGTTTCCACTTCAGATAAATTAAACCCTTGGGAAACAAAAAAAAAAAAAAACCACTATATAACAAATAATAATCAAAATATTATATAGTAAATATCAAAAGTATAACACAAAGCTCTCGTAGCTCAGTTGGTTAGAGCACCCGTTTAGTAAGCGGGAGGTCTTGAGTTCAACTCTCAACGAGAGCACTTGTATATCCCATTTTCCATTCAGCTTTTTCCGTTTTTCGATTTTTATTTTCCATCCCTTGTAACGAGAATAAAGTTAAGTCTGGGTTCGTAATTTCTCACCCAATTATGGGTACCCAACCCTTGTTCCACACTGAAGGAAATTAAATAAATTGATCCGACATAAATTTATGAAAAATATTAATTCGATGAATGTTAAATTGTAGTTGAATCGCATCAGTTTTTGGTTAATTGTAACACCAAATTTCGGTCCAATCCAATAATAATAAAAAAAAGACCAAAATTTGAATCAAACTTCCCCAAATGATGTCATTCTCTGCAAATTTGTTTTATTTGTCACCCTTTTAAATTGGAGAAGTGAGAAAGAACTTTCAATTGAACTACTCTTTGAACATAAAGCAGTACATCATCATCCCTAAAAATAAGATGAAAACTATTAAGATTCATTACTAGTAGTAGTATACTTGCTGGTCCCTCCACGCCCGGCCCTGTAAATAAGATGAAAACTACCATGTAACCAAAACCACATGATAAAAAACATAGAACATTTTATTAACTATTTGAGCCACAAATGTCAATACAGTGCAAAACAAAAAAGAAAATTGTTGTTTCTCATAAACCAAGACTATTATTATCCGTTATTTATACTGTAAGGTAATGAACACACTTCAGTTGGAAGCAATAAACATGAATTATATTCCTGAAACAAGTGGTAATAGGTACTAGGTAGCACACAAAAACTAAATCGAAAAGAAACTAAGCCTTTGAAGTCAAAAGTGATATTTCATGAAAAAATAAAAAATCTGCAAGTTAGATTTTCCAGGGCAAGTAGAACGTACATTTCAAGACTCAACGAAATTGGTGAACGAGAAATAAACATTACCTTACTTGTTCTTCTCCATCTTGGGGAGGTTGGTTTTTGTGTACCTTCCAACAACAACCTGCAACATACTCAACAATAAGATCCAAAGTGCGAGGAAAAGATTGAGCTATTCTATTTTGAAACCAAACAATGTTATCAACATTAGAACCTCCAAAAAGCAACCTTCTTTTAATTTATCTGAAGCTTAAAACCAGAAAATTGCCAATTCACGTTGAAACATATAGGGACATCATGAAAGTGTCTTCAATTTTCTCAATACATATTTAGGCTAAAAGCCAAAAGCAGGACAAGAAAATACAATCAACAAAATAATTAGTAAATTCAAAAATAGGTAAGAAGGAAGGAGACATACAGGCAGTCGGTCAGGATACTTGGCAATGATATCTTGTGATTCTTGCTGTCTTTCCTCTGATTCGATCAAACAAAATAATTAGTAAATTCATTTATGATTATTAAAGAAAAAAAAAAGAGAGAATGTCCGAACCAAATGAGAATTGTTGCTTGAAAGGTTGCGTCTTGGCGTTGCCCATCTTAGTTTGCTTGATCCACTCCAGATTTCAAGAATACCCCGAATTGATGAATTTCTCGCAATTCTATGACCAATCTAGAAGAAAGAAAAAACAACTGACAAGATAAGCCCACATGGTATTTGTTAAATAAAAAGGTATTGTACAGAAAGTAAACAAGCGCGGGGATAGCTCAGTTGGGGAGAGCGTCAGACTGTAAATCTGACAGGGTTTAATTATTTTGCATTCTTAATTTATAGACCAAATAGCAGAGAAAATCAATCAACTTTAATCTTGTTCATGTTAACGTAAAACCATCCCCAACTAAGTTTCAGTATATTAAAGAACCACATCATTACTCACAAAAATTTTAACTCCGTGAATTCTTATAGACTTGTATGTACAGACTTCACTTTCTCATCCAATGTAACATACAATAATACAAGATGCACTACCGCTAAATCATATTTCACTGGAAAACCATGATTTGATAATTTTCAGAAAGAGCATGACGACAATTGACTTAGAGAGACGAAGTTTGGTTTCTTACCTGAACCAAAATCAGTATTACATGTCTATTTGTACCAACAAAAAATAGATTGTCAAGGGTGCTGCAAGCAAAAGCATTCGTCCAAGAGAATCATTTGAAGATGTAAAACTTCTGCAACCAAAAAAATCGATTTAAGCATTTAAAATACACAAGATTTGAAAAAAAAAAAAAAAAAAGGAAATTATGAATTCACCTTGCCCCTCAAGACTAGCAAAGAGTTCAACGCCGAAACTGCACTTTCTTTGCCCTCACAATACCATGATGCAATGTAGCTACGGTATGGCTATCTGGCTCTACTCCTTTAGATTGCATCTCATTCATAAGAGTCGACGCCTTTTCCATTTTTCCCTGCCTGCAATAGCCAGATAGGAGGGCTGTGTATGTTTTAGTATCAGGTTGTAAACCTTGTTCAATCATTTCATTGAAAAGGGTAATAGCATCCTGAAGGTTGTCTGATTTGCACTGACTGTCAATTAAAGCTGTGTAGCAAATGACATCAGGCTTTAATCCCATCTCCTTCATTTCACCACAAAAAGTTGAAGCCACCTCTTTTACTTTCTTGCTTCCTTCAGTGTTTCGAGCCCTTTTCAAACTTATTTTACAATGTCCATCAAGCAAGATGGTATAAGTAATGACATCAGGACTAATGCCCCTTTCCTTCATATCACTGAAAAGATCAAGTGCTTCCTGTAGGCAATGCACCAGACAGTATCCATTCAACATTATGGTGTATGTAATTACGTTTGGAGATAATCCTCTTCCAATCATATGGTCAAATGCCCATCGAGCCCTTTTCATATCTCCAGCACGACAAAGAGCAGCAATGAGCTTCCCGTACATTGTCTTACTAGGGGCATCACCTGAAGATAACATCAACTCAAATAGCTTAATAGCTCTGTCATTGTCACCTTCCAAACAGAGTCTGCAGAGAAGTTTGAAACAAGAACTCCTATTTATTAAAAGTCCTTGATTGAACAATCTGAGGAAAAGTTTATAGCCTTTAGTTGCATTTCCCGATTCACAATATCCATTAACCATGGCGGCATAATTCTCTAGACTTTTGTCTTCCAAATTACTTAAATACATTTCAGCTTCCTTCACTTTGCCTGCTATGAATAGGCCTTCAATGATCATGTTGTGTGTCACTGCATTGGGAGTCAAGCCCTGCTCTTTCATAGCATCCAGAAGCAAAAGTACATCTTTTAGAAGGCCGCTCTGTGACAATCCTCGAACAAGCACATTATAAGTGACAACATCAGCATTTAAACCTTCTTCATTCATTTCCTCAAATAAGCTTACAGCATCAAAAATCTCTCCTTGGATGCAGTGACCATTTATCAAAGTGGTGTAGTGCACAACATCGGGTATCAGCTTCTTAGTCTTCATCTCATCAAACAATCCCAGTGCCTCATCTAATTTACCCATTTTGCACAGGGCATCAATAGCAACATTATATGCAACTTCATCAAGAAAAATCCCCAACTTTTGAAAGTTCTTGAAATGGGTTACTGCTTCATCTAGCATGCCTTTTACACAGAAGCACTGAAGAATTGAAGTGACAATAGAACAATTAGTTCTGATACCCTTTGCTTCCATCTCATTATGGAAATCCAAAGCTTTACTTAAGTTTCCAGACTCACAATACCCCTGAATCAAGGCATGATAGGTAACTTGGTCGGGAACTAGTCCATGCTCTTCCATGTCAAGTAAAACCACCTCTGCCTCTTTCAACTTCCTTTCGTTGACGAAGCCTCGGATCACAACAGTATAAGCATATGCATCGATTGGGGCATTTTTTGACTTCCAATATTGTAAAAACTCATAGCCTAAATCCGACCTGCCATGCATGCAAAGCCCTTCAAGATAAGCCGAACAGGTAAAAGCATTGGGTGCCACACCAGATTCCTCCATCTTCTCGAACACATCTAGGGCTTCCTCCAAACAACCATTTCGACAATATGCCTTAATCACAATGCCATAAGTATATAAGTTTGGGGTCAGACCCAGCCTTTTCAGCTGCTTATAGATAGCAATGGTTGTATCCAATTTCCCATGCTCAACCAACCTATTCATCAAAAAATTACACGACAACAAAAAGGGTCCAAGGCCATGCCTTTTTGTTCCAAAAAGGGTGTCAATGGCCTCATCAAACATGCCTAAAGTAACATAACCCTTAACGAGAGCATCAAAAGCCCGAACCAAAGAAGTTTGACCACCAGCAGCATCCTTAAGCCCCTCTGCCACTGCCTCAAACAACTCAGACGACAAAGGCAGGTGCTCCTTCTCCTCCTTTTCTAATTTTATAACTTCGACAAACAGACAAACCAATTTCTTATCCAAGCCCCAGTAGCAGAGTATCTTAATAATAGCCATGTAAGTTACAATATCATGTTGAAACCCTTTCTCCTTGAGTTGGTTAAAAAAAGATAAAGCGGAAATGGGTTCCCTCTGCATATCTTTTAAAATCTGTGCTACAACCCCAGATGAAGATGAATTCCAATCATCAACATATATGTTATCATTATCGCTGCTGAGTCTTGAATTTTTTAAGTCCTCCTCAGAACCTGCTGAGTCTGACACCTCATAAGGACTGAAATGGGCAAGAGATGGAAGTGACTGAAATCGAATAAATTGGAGGCTTTTGGGGAAGAGGTTACTAACGGAATAAACTGACCTGATTGTGTAAATCAGCATGGAAATTTTTTACAGTTTTAGATTATAGTATTTCTCAGGTTATTGGACAGAGAAATAGACCTACGAACAGAGGGCAGCGGCGACGATGATGCATAGTTCAGTTGCGGACTGGAAAAATAGAGGAGCGGAGAAGGTTTGTCGGCGGGCCCATATCCTACAATGTTGATATGTTTCCTAAAGATACAAAATAGAGTGTTTTTACATGGCAAAAATCATAGCAATTGTCTTCTTTATTTCAACAAAACACAAATGAACAGAGCATTATAATCTTTTCTCACAAGCATAGACAGTGATCTTATATTTTGTTCTTAGAGAAAGTTTTAGCTCTCATTGCCACAACCAAATTCAAATGGACATTTTGGGGAAAGAAACTGGTGCAGATCCATACGAATTCATACTTACTAATTATGTTTGCACTACTCTAACATTAGCCCCACAAGAAACTTGCTCTCAAGTGCTCACATACACAGAGCAACCAAAATAGCATAGCATATCTGTAGTGATAGTTTTATCATCTTCGCAGAGAGATTAGTGCTATACTTGGATGATTAAATTTATCACAGAAAGTACTGACGATTTTTTAGGAAAGCCCAAATTTTCACAACCAAGCATCTCTTTGAAAATATCATACAAATTTAAGACAAGCACTGATCAATAATTTCCTCAACCATAATCGAAATCAACAAACAAAAAAGTAATTTCCAGAAATGGCGTACCTGACGTTAAATATGAAAGATAACAGAAATATAAGAAATTTGTAGTAGAGACAAAGAAGTTTCGTTTAGGGAACCTAGGGTTTACAGCCTTGAATTAGGAACGGAGAGGGAGAACTAAGACGATAATACTAGTATGTTTGGTTGTTAAGAAAGAAATTGGAGGGAAAATAAAAGGAAAAAGAAAGTGATTTTTTGTTTTGGGACGATGATGTGAGGTTTTTATGGAATTTTCGAATTGATTTTTTGGATGTGGAGAATCTAAACACAACAAGGGTCAAGGAGTATTTTAGAGCATCTACAAAATTACTCTCATATTTCTCATATTTTAAAATGTAAAAATACTAGTACCACCAAAGCTCTCGTAGCTCAGTTGGTTAGAGCACCCGTTTAGTAAGCGGGAGGTCTTGAGTTCAACTCTCAACGAGAGCATAGCATATTCTATCACTTATTTTCTTTTTCTTTCTAAGCTTCTTCTTCCACCCTCAGACAAATCAAATAAATTTATCAAACAACTAATTCCCATGCCCTATTTTATTTTATTTTTCTTCCTAAGCTTCCTGTTCCACCCTCAGACAAATCAAATAAATTGATAAAAAAACTTAATTGGATGTAGAATTCTAAATTATAATAGTAGTAGTCGAATCGCATCAGTTGATGGTTAATTCTGAAAGCCAACTTTCGTTCAAATCCAATCACAGATGAACAAAAACACAACCAATTAATCATCCAAAATTATGAATAAAACTTGCTCAAATGCTATCTTCTGTTCTGTTCTGTTCATGGACAAAGCAATAGTTCCCAGCAAATTCACTCCTTATTCAGTTCCATTTGTGAAAAAACACCACATCATCACTAAAATTCGGATGAAATTACATTCAAACTTCAAGTATTCTAAGTTCATATACTTCACGGCTACTACATACACAATTTAGGAAGAAGGGAGTCCTAACACCCTTGCTGATCCCTCCACCTAAGATAAACAAGCCCCGCTTGATAATGAGTATAAGCTCCGGCCACAACAAGTACATGAAAAAGCTGATGGCTATGCCCAGCAATATCGAATTTCCCTGGCATCCACCTCTCCGGAACTCTCATAGCATACACCAATGCTCCAACACCGTACAACGCCCCCATCAAAACCTCGTAACATGTCGTGTGTAATGCCTCCGGCTGGTGCCAAAATAATATAAGCTTATGAAATATAGGCACCGCTCCTGAGAACCCCATCCCGAAGAAGAGTGAGGCTCGGAATTTACGGTATTCCGGACTTTGAAATACCGGGAGAA